TATATATATATATATATATATATATATATATATATATATATATATATATATATATATATATATATATATATATATATATATATATATATAATTATTTGCGCACCGCATAGAAGAAATTGAAGGCCTAGCAACTAGGCTTATTCGCGAGTAATTCGACGCCAGGTGCGACTCTGGGCTAACATGTGTTGTTATTGTGCTGTGCGTAAAGCGTTTTTTGTCGTTCTGCGTTCTCGATCGACCAAATTATTTTCTCGCTTATACCGAAAACGAGTTAATAGAGACGCGAAAATTGAATCGATTGGAAACATTTTACTTTTATTTTGCAATTTCAGAATTTTGCAAGTACATAGTGCAGTCCGCATTTTCCACCAAGCCCGTGTAAGCCATGGGCCAGTATTGCTTCCGTCGCTGATTTGCTGACAAATTTAATCATCCAATCAGTAATTAATATATACAAAGGACAGACCCTGGGAGTCTTTGTCTTTGCACACTAAAGGCTAGTTTCCACGCAGGAAAATTATCGCTGGATTGAAACGGACAAGAATATTTTTCTTTGTGTTAAAGTCATTAGTTCCAACCCAGAGCTCACAAGACAAAGAAAAACTTTCTTGTCCGTTCCAATCCACGGATAATTTTCCTGAGTGGAAACTTGCCTTAAGCCACCGAGCATCAACACCAGTTTATACTTTGTAGCAACAAAAAGAACCTTTACAGTCAGCGATGGCTAACGAAAATCCAGAGTATGGTTACCCATCTCCGGGGCCGCAGGAAATTTCTGCAGGTGATGTGATGAAAAAGCTCTACTTTATGTCCGACGATGCGTGGGAGAACTGTCGCACAAACGGCAACTTCGATTATGTTGTCATTGGCTCGTCGTTTTGTGCTTTGGCATTCACTCAGCAAATGCTGAAGAAAAATCCCAAAGCTAAGATCCTTATCCTCGAGCGTGGACAGTATTTTCTTCCTGAACACTTTCAAAACCTTCCACCAGCCTACTCGTTCGCTTTGTGCAGCACATCTGAGACGTTCCACTGGAAGATCACAGAGGCCACTCATGAAGGCGAGTACATTAAATGGCAGCATGGCGTGAACAACTTCTTTGGTGGTCGCTCATTGTTTTGGAGTGGTTGGTGCCCTGAACCCACCAGAGAGGAGATGGTAGAGTGGCCAGAGGGGGTAATAAACGCAGTGCACGAGTACTTCCCGGCTGCCAAACAACTCCTGAAGGTCACCCCTGTAAATAAGATTTCAAACGAGGGAAGCCAATCCATATTTGGGCAACTTCAAGATGTTCTCGTCGAAAAGCTACAATCATGCCTTTCAATGGACTCCATTACAAGAGTTGAACATGCTCCTCTTGCTGTCCAAGCCAATAACTGCAGGTATTATATAACATTTATACTATATTGAGTTGTTGCTACAGTACCGCTCACGTCTATCTCAACATCGTTTATCGTCCGTCCGTCTATCGTCCGTCCGTCTATCATCTGTTCGTCTAAAGCCGTCCGTCCGCAGTTTAACGTAGATAGAAAACCTTAGTTTAAGCACGCTAACACGTCAACAAATGCAGATTTCCACCTGGGGCGTGTATAGAATATCAATGTACAGAATTTGTAAAAAAAGTAACTATTTACAGGGTGTCAAATAAATTTATAGTAAAGACCTAATAAGGAAATATTTACAAATGAATTTGTTTATAAGATACAGATAGTAATAAGAATATATTTACAAGGATTTTTCATTTTATCCCAATGTGAGAAGCAATTCAGTCGTTCAAAACAATTAAGTAAGAGACTTACTGTCCATAATTTCGTTTGGTAAAGAATTCCAAACAAAAGCCCCATCAAACATGAAGCTATTTTTCATGCTATTGGTACGAGGCTGTGGTAAACAGAGAGCATTTCAAATATTCCTAAGTTCGTAGTTTGTGATCTCATTTTTATAGCTAAACAGATGAGCTCGAGTAAAGGCGGTTTTCCAGTCCTCGCACGAATCTCCTCGCTGCGAGTGCTTGCATCTAATTAATTAACTGATTAACTGTTTAGCATTGTGATTGGATGAAAGTGCTCATACATCACTCGCAGCGAGCTATGGAGGGGAATTAGGGACAAAATTGTTTTAGAGTCAAAGCATTATTGTGTCATCACGGTCAATTGTATCGTACTGGATAGGCAATGGATCGTACTGGATAGGCAATGGGTCGAACTGGATAGACATAAGGTTGGTACTGGATAGGCAATGGATCGTACTGGATAGGCAATGGGTCGTACTGGATAGGCAATGGGTCGTACTGGATAGGCAATGGATCTTACTGGATAGGCAATGGGTCGTACTGGATAGGCAATGGGTCGTAAAAGAAAATTGTCTCTTTTCCATATGGAAATTTTGAAAAACGGGAAGAAAAGTGGAAAATGAAAATTTTCCGTGTGGTAAGTGGTAAGATCAAACTCGTTTAATTCACATTTTGCATTTTCTGATTTTCATAATTTGCGTATATATTTTGTCAAGAAGAATTTCATGCTTGATTTGTTTATTGTCCTTTTTAAATTGTTTAAAGTTTAAAATGTTAAGAGAAGACGACAGGTTACAACGCGCGAAAGATGCGTTAAAGAACGCGTTACAGGAATTGGAATCAGAGCCACAGAGCCATGGGCGTACCGGAAGGAAAAAATTAGGGGGGCGGAAAGAAATTTGCCCGACTTTTTCGGATTGTGCCCGACCAGTGCCGGAAAATTTTTTTTCCGGAACAATTAATTTTGGCGACCTCCTCCCCCCAAAAAAATTTTTTTCGGACATACCAACATTTTTCGGAACGTCAAACAAATTTTCCAAACATCACAAAATTAACAGAATTTCTCACAAAATTGACAGAATTTGTCCCATTTATTTTTATAATAACCCAATATTGGCCGACTGTGAAGCGAATATTGCCCAACTGGCTTTGTTTGCCCAACAAACTGGGGTTATTATTAATAGAGATTTGATTGCTTTCACTACTTTTTTTGATTTTTAATTTCCCACTCTTCGCCCGACTTATGTTGAACATTTGGCCGACTTTTCGACTTTGTAATCTTTTTTTTTTGGGGGCAGCTGCCACCCGTCCCGTACGCCTATGCACAGAGCTCCAGCCCGATAAACAACGCAAGAGCTACAGCTACTCGGTCTCCGAATATCGATGTCGTTGATCAACAATGACAAAGTGCAACTGATGATTTTAGGTGAGTCAATGAAAAAGGAACGAAATCCATGAGTGTATTATCTATTTTCTTTAAAGGAATATTAAAGTTATAAGTAAGTTTAATTGTAATTATATAGACCATAATTTTGGCGCCGCTTTCGCATTCTGATGGATGCAACACGTGTTCATTAGTAAATTTATAATTTTTTTTCAAATACGCGAATACCGGGGGGGGGGGTATGACAAAAAAGAAACAATGACGATAAATCAGTCAAGATTTTATATACATAATTTCAAATGTCCGGGCCGATGAATCAGTCAAGATTTTATACATAATTTCAAATACCTGGAAAAGTTATAAAATATGCTTTGAGATTAAATTACATGTGTTTTTAATGACTATTTTTACAAGGTTCTGCAGGCCCTGCTGTTTTATGTGACCTTCTCATGATGTAGCAGGAACTTGTTAACAGAACAAATGTTAACAGAACTTGATAAATCCAACTCATTGGGTATACTTTTGTTGCCGATATTACTGTTAAAATTGTAGTTTTAACTCTAAATATTCCTTTTTGGATTTTAATTTATTAATAAAATACAGTCATCAGAATGATTTAACATAAATTACTGCCATATTTAAAAATGTTATCATAAATGACTATATGGCAAGTGTTGATGCATAAAGCCACTTTTAGCTGATTAATATTTGGATTTTAATATCAAGTTCTGTTAACATTTGTTCTGTTAACAAGTTCCTGCTGCATTATGGGAAGGTCACATAATTGATAAAACAGCAGGGCCTGCAGAACCTTGTAAAAATAGTCATTAAAAACACATGTAATTTAATCCAATCTCAAAGCATATTTTATAACTTTTCCAGGTATTTGAAATTATGTATAAAATCTTGACTGATTCATCGGCCCGGGGCATTTGAAATTATGTATTATATAAAATCTTGACTGATTTATCGTCATTGTTTCTTTTTTGTCATACCCCCCCCCCCCCCGGTATTCGCGTATTTGAAAAAAAATTATAAATTTACTAATGAACACGTGTTTCATGCATCAGAATGGGAAAGCGGCGCCAAAATTATGGTCTATATAATTACAATTAAACTTACTTATAACTACCGAGTAGCTGTTGCTCGTGCGTTGTTTATCGGGCTGGAGCTCTGTGGCTCTGATTCCAATTCCTGTAACGCGTTCTTTAACGCATCTTTCGCACGTCGTAACCTGTCGTCTTCTCTTGACACTTTTAAACAATTTAAAAAAGGACAATAAACAAATGAAGCATGAAATTCTTCTTGACAAAATATATACGCAAATTATGAAAATCAGAAAATGCAAAATGTTTGGTGTTACCACTTACCACACGAAAAATTTTCCACTTTTCTTCCCTTTTTTCAAAATTTCCAAACGGAAAAGAGACAATTTTCTTTTACGACTTATTACCTATCCAGTTCGATCCAATGCCTGTCCAGTACAATCCATTGCCTATCCAGTACGACCATTGCCTGTCCAGTACGACCCATTGCCTATCCAGTTCGACCCATTGCCTATCCAGTTCGACCCACTGCCTATCCAGTACGACCCATTCCCTATCCAGTACGACCCATTGCCTGTCCAGTACGACCCATTGCCTATCCAGTTCGACCCATTGCCTATCCAGTTCGACCCACTGCCTATCCAGTACGACCCATTGCCTATCCAGTACGATCCATTGCCTATCCAGTACGACCCATTGCCTATCCAGTACGACCCAATGCCTATCCAGTACGACCCAATGCCTGCCTGTCCAGTACGATACAATTAACCGTGATGACACAATAATGCTTTGACTCTGAAACAATTGCGGTGCCCCGCCCAAAGTTTGGGCACCGCATTATATTCTGCCTGTGAGTTTGTTTGTTAGTTTGTTAGTTTGTTTGTTAGTTTGTTCGCATCAATACGTTTCCTTAATCGCGTACCAAAAATTCCTTGCACGTGCTCGGAATTTATTATTATTATTAATCGTGTACTCTCATGATGATTGACTGTTTGCTCAGCTTTATCTCTGGTTATATTCGTCAAACAAGGACAAAAATACCACTGTTCGAATCAGCGTGAAAAGTTGTGTTTACGGATGGAAAATTGATTTCAAAATTGACTTCTGTTCTAGCTATTTGTCGCCTTTGAAAGACAAAGCCGCTCAAGATAATCCTTCACGTTTTCCGAATTCCTTTTTTCGAGGAAAGTTTTCTTTCGAATTACAACTCGAACTCTCACGATTGACTTCTTGCTGCGTCTTATCTCTGGTTTTATGCGCCCAATATGGACAAAAATACCACCGTTCGATTCAGTGTAAGAAATTATACTCATATATGTCAAATCTATTACTAAACTACAGTATTCTAGCGATTATGGCCTTTGAAAGACAAGCGAAATTGTATTGTTCACAAATCGCTCAAAATTATTAAACTAATTAAAAGTGCAATACATTTGACCTTGATAACTTTCGTATTGTTGGTTTTCTCTTTTTCGGCCGTATACCAGTGGATTCGTCTCACTTTTCTCTTTATTTTGTTAGTAGTTTGAGCCCAAAATATTATATTTTGAAGCTTTTAATGTGCAGTTTTAATAAGCGAAATTGTACTGTTTACAAACGCTCAAAATTACTAAACTAATTAAAAATGCAGTCCGTTTGATCCTTGATAACTTCGGAATTGTTGGGTTTTCTCGTTCTCGGCCGTATGCCAGTGGATTCGTCTCACTTTTCTCTTCATTTTGATAGTATTTTGAGCCCAAAATATTTTATTTTGAAGGCTTTAAAACGCAGTTTCGACCCTAACGTACGGACCAACTGGCGGCCGACAGGAGAATGTAGCGTGCTAAATATTAAACTAGGGTACCTGCAAGGTAGGGATTGCTGCGGACATTAAAAGCAAATAGAACCACAGTAAAGAACATAAATTATATCAAGCACAGTGATTACTCGCAGCGACTAGTGAGCTGTGAATGGAACTGAGAAGAAGGACAAGAAGCAATATATATTGAAGTAGCAAAGATTGAAGTAGCAAAGACCAGGGGTTAAAGGGCAATCAGAGGTGACAGATATTAAACATGTGCGTCTCATTGACATACAGGTAAATTCAGATCAGATTTCATATCAAGTCTGTTTACTGCCAGGCGCATTTACCAACATTATATAGACTATATTGTCTATATACACAGATTTATCACACTAAGAAACCAAAACTTTATAAAAAATATAGAACTGACAGTGGCCAAAGTCCAAAACAAATGTAAGCGTAACATTAGACGTCACATGAAAAAACTTTAGAAATTCGATAAAAATTCGATGGTGGGTCCTCGCGCGCTCACTTTTCCCTCACTAGAAACTTCATGTATTAGCCAACAGGAGGAATCTAGGGGCCCCATCTAGCGTATATTTTATATAAGTGTACTTGTAGGCGAAACGCCAGAAATTTTTTTTGCAGGGCACCGCATTTTAGTACTGTGTCTGGTTTTGTCCCTAATTCCCCTCCATAGCGAGCTGCGAGGAGCTTCGTGCGAGGACTGGAAGTCCGCCTTTAAGGCCCGTTTCACACGTCCAATTTCGGTCGCGTCGAATGCAATTCAAACAATAGATAATGAAGCTTAACGAGATTTATCATATCATTATCTATTGTCTTATTTGCATTCGACGCGACCAAAATTCGACGTATAAACAGAGGCGTAGCCAGGGCTGGGGCCGGGCCCGGCCCCCCTGGCAAAATTTTGCTCCCCCCCCTAATAAAATGTATTGTATAAAATAGGGAATCCTTGATTATATAGCTTCATGTTGAGACCCGTCGGAAAATTGTCAATGTTGTCGGAATCTTCGTGGCGAAGTATCGAAAATACGGAAATCGGGAAAAGTGCTACGAAAGCAATTATAATGTTATTGTCCGGAAAATTTTTTACCAAAAAAGTTGTCGACGGGGGGGAATTTAAAATGTTGTGGTCCGGAAAATTTTTGGCCCCACCTGGGTTTTTGCTGTCCCCCCTGACCAGAAATCCTGGCTACGCCTCTGCGTATAAAACAGGCCTAAGGGATTTAGGACCCATCTCTTTTAGTAAGTTCTTTCTGCTTTAAGTGGTTCCCATCCTAATGCATTAAGTGCAACTGTTGAATCCAGGTCATTGCTCATATTCATTATAATACGACCAGCAATAGCGAAACCAACTTCGAGGAGCTTATACAAAACCTAAAGCTTTTGTTTCTTGTAAAAATGACACAGCGAGTAAATTTATTTAATGATTGACTTTTGTGGTATGATACAGTCAAACAGCATGGGTCTTTGTCGAGAATAAAATAGGGAGTTTACGCATGTAAGACGGCGGACTTCGGTCTTGATCGCCGAGCGCGACTTGACCACATCGGTATCTTTGACCATATCGGTATCTTTGACCATTTAACACCTAAATTACAGGAACTCCTATACGAAGCTAAACGCTTTAAAACGGAAAACAACTATCAATATTGCTGGTCGAAGTCTTCTGCCGTCTTTCTCCGCGAGAATGCAGAATCTCGAGCGATAAAACTTAGAAATATGGGGGAACTTGAACGTCTGAAATCAGAAAATGGTCACACGACAACAAATAGCTAAATACATGGAGCAGAATTTTCTATACAATATATTGGCACAGGGGCGGATCCAGCCAAAAATCTGACCGTAGCATTTTCCAAGACCTCGCATAGCTAGGGGGGTCCGGGGGTATGCCCCCCCCGGAAAATTTTTGAAATTTGAAGCCCGGAAATGCCATTTCCTGCGTTCTGAGCACTGCATGTGACCATTAAATTTGTCCTCATTGTAT